TATTGTAAGTAATCTAGAAATTATTTAAAGAATATAGAAGAATGTGTGTAGGTTATATGCAAATACTACACCATTTTATACAAGAGACTTGAGCACCTGTGGATTTTGGCATCTGCTGGGCATCCTGGGACCAATACCCTGCATATACTGAGGGATGACCACATATATTGTTGAGTTCTTGTGTATTCCAAATGTGTCTCTTGTACCATTATTTGTGATTCACAATTCTTCTGAGTATTAATTCTCGGCTAAACAAAATTTTCCTTCCAAATTCTAGAAGTATTTTTCAATTCTTTTCTGAAGTTACATATTTCAGAATACAAGTATATATTTTACCACTATAGCAAGGTTTTTTTCTTTAAAAATAGAGCTTTTAAAATTGCCTATAAGTGGATTTTTATAGAAGGTAATCTTCAGAACTATACTTTCTTTGAGTCCCCAAGTGATTGCTTCCCTTCCTTTGTTCTGTGGCATTAATTTTTTAATTTCTATTTTTTTGTTTATTCATCATAAGAAAAGAGACCTATTAAGACCCATAGTTTACCAACAGAAAGGAATTAAGCATAGCTTTGAACAACTCAAAGTTTGTCAAGTTGGCTTTGAGGCTGAATCTTAGTTATTGGGAGAAAAGGTATGGTTTATCTGTACACTTGCTAGTTTAATTTTTCAGTTTCTACCAAGGAATCATTTAAAATTGTTTTCCTGGCATAAAACGGAATCTTCTGCTAACTCAGTTGAATGACTGTGATATTTTCAACAGATGGGATGCACACACACACACACACCACAAACATACACACAGTAGCCTTCATGGACTTCCACCAGGTTTCATCCTGCCTTAGCTACACCACAAGACAAAAGATGGGAGATAGCACCACATGTATCTCCTTTTTGGTAAGTACAGACCTTGTAGTCTTTACTACAGGAAAAAAGGTCCATCTTCCTACCTAAAGATGGACAGGCTTATTCAAATGCTGTAACTTACAGAGACTCTGGAATGAATCTTTAAATCTAGTCCTATTAGCCTTGCAAAAAGTCAGAATTCCCTAATGATAGTATCAATAAAATGATTAAGAGAGTAAACTCTTAGAGATCTTGTGAGTTTTTATTTTTGTTCTTTGGCATTGTAGGAGGTTGAAACAGGGGTGTATTCATCAAGTACTAATATTAAGATGACATTTTGAGCTTGAAATTTTCTAATTTGTTATTTAATTTCGATTATGTGGATACAATTATATGGATCATTGGGTTTCAAGTTATATTTCCTATATCCTTCATTCTTATATTTCATTAACAATTATGGATTATTTTTGAGTTAGTAGATAGATAGATAGAAATCCATGAAGTAAAATCTTGTCATGATTTTATCATTACTTTAATAAATTGTTACTATTTACTCAAGTTTCCTATTTCCATGTGAATTCTCATGGCTCAAAAGAAAATGAGAGATTAGTTAAGAATCAGTCATTTGTCCATTGTGAGTTCAAAGCTTGCTCCCCTTGCCTATACTGCAAATGGAATGTAGGATGACATGCTCATTGGGAAATTATACTGACCCATAGCCTCATCTCTAGTCCTTGAGGAAGAGAAACATATGGCACCCCTACCTGTAGTCATTCATATGCCATATTTGGGGTATCACCAAGTCAATGGCAAATGTGTCTCCTCACATTCACCTAAACCCCTTAGACTGAAAGTGTGTCTTAACTGCTCACTTATGTACTTTACTGGCTATTTTACCTCATAATTAGATGTTGTCTATTTGATCAAGTTTACCCTTCACACTTATTTTAACAAGATTCACCTATGTTTAAATGTCATAGTGGGAAAGGACATACAAAGATATGTGGTTGGGTACTGTACTCTTATTAGAGATGGCTCTGTCACTTTCTCCAAATCCATGAATGGGTTTTGAGTCTTGCTTTTCCTCAACAGTGACTACCAATCTCTCTCTATTTTGTATCTCTGACCTTTCATTCATCACTCTACCTTATGTAGTTTCTCCCTTGCCATAACTGCCAAACCAAACAACAAAACATGTTCAGTAGTTTCTTAGAAGCCAGAGACACAAGTATCTTGAAAGGAACTCTAGCTGATCACATATTCCAGTAGCACTTAGAATGATTCAGACTGAAGCTTAATTATGGGAAAAAAAAAACAAAAACAGGAATATAAGAAGTATTTATTTCTAAATAACTCAGGCTATCTCTGGATATATCTGTGTAAATAAAAGTTTGGTGCCTTTTGCTTATAAGAAAATACTAGTTGGGCTTGGTGGCTCATGCCTGTAATCCTAGCACTCTGG